GGTGGTGGGTAGCGAGGTGGGGACTCTGCAAACCACACGGGAAGTTCTCAAACTGCTGGGCCACAGAATCGTCTAGAACACTTGCTAAAAATAAACCCAGAACCACCCTGGGGCATCTGTCTTCTTAATGAGCATTCCAGGTGCTTCTGCTATACCCTGTGCTTTGAGAACCACGGACCCCACAGCTGCCGAGGAAGTCCTCACCAGCTACTATCTGGTCTGTCTGGATCAGGGCTACACTTTAGAATCACTCGGACACATTAAAAACAAACAACAAACCAATGCCCCACTGCCGGAAATTAATGGGTTCGGGAGGGGATTGGGCATTGTGGTTTTTGTTTGTTTGTTTTGTTTTGTTTTGAAACAAACTCTCCAGGTGTTTTTACTATATGGCCAGAGTTGATAGCCAACTCTGGTTTTCACTTAGGAAAACCAGCAGTCCCCCAAATTTCTGGGAATATGAAAAGACAGACTGATCTGCTCTGAACAGTTAGAGTCACAGTGATGGATTGTGTGATAAATAACGCCCCCCCCCCACCGTGAAACAGACTAAGTGTCAGAAATAGAGGGAAGTATGAAACCAACCAACCAACCAACCAACCAACAAAACAAAACCCAAACCAGTATCATGCCCTCAGGGGGATTTAAGAGGATAAATATCAAAAGAATAGAATAGGTATTAAGAAACAGGAGTCCAAGAAATATTAAGAATTCTTGGAAATGGAAAGCATGATCGTCAACTAGCTCTCCCAAGACTCAGGAGGAAAAGAAAAGCTCATTAAAGTATAAAACCACAGAACGGACACCCTGAAAACCAAACTGGTGGCTCTGAAGAGTAATTCAAGGAATTCTACCCTTGAACATAGACTAGAAAGACTACAGGATGGGAGTTGTAGAAGGGAAAAGATAGAGAGATATGGCTGCCCCATCTCAGAGGCTCAGAATTTCTACAAAAGGATTTCCTGGAAAGAGAGGATAGAACAGAAAAAAGAGTAGTGATTAAACAATAAATAAATAAATAAAAGGAGAGAAAATACCTCGAGTTAAAAAAAGACTAGAAGAGATTAGAATTAGAATTTCTGGCAGTGGATCAGATTAGAAGGGATGACCTAGGGCACATCAGAACTATTAGAAAAAAGATACTCACCTACAAACTACTTTTCTTTTAACGCTGACAGAGAAATAAATGTCAGTCACAAAATGTTTGTTTACAATGTATCAGGTTAAGACACCTATCAAGAAGAATGGGATTTGGAAGAGGCAAAGGGAAATTTTTTTTAAATTAAAATAATTAATGTTTATTTTTGAGAGAGAGATAGAGCATGAGTGGGGGGGGGGGGGGGGCGGTGGCCAGAGAGAGAGAGGAGACACAGAATCCAAAGCAGGTTCTTGGCTCTGAGCTGTCAGAACAGAGCCCAAAGCAGGGCTCGAACCCACGAACCCTGAGATCATGACCTGACCCGAAGTCAGACACTTAACCGACTGAACCACCCAGGCGCCCCTTCTATTTTTTACTTTACACACTTTAATGTTATTTGTATGAATTGATGCCATTTTTAATTAAAAATTTAAAAGTAAATATGACTGGAGTAGAAACTAGAGTAACAAAAGCTAACACAAAATTTGATTCATAAAGCAAAAATCAGGGAAGAGGAAAAGAAACAAAAGGAACAAGATCCAGAAAACATAAAATATCAGGTAAAAGATAAAATATATATGATCCAAGTAAATGTAATCATTTGATATCCCAATGTCCAAAGCAAAACACAGAGACAAGTGAGCACAGAACCCAAAACAGTCAAGTCACAAGAGGAAAATGAATACTAAATGACCATGAGACAGGATTCTCAAAGAAATGAAAAAGCAATGAGATTTTTATTTTAGCTTAACACACTTGCAAAGGTGACAAAGATTGATAATGCCTGGGATGGTGAGGATGTGGGAAGTGGACACTTTTAAGCTCTGGGCATGGGAAAGGTTTGTTAGAATTTTGCTCGAGAGGAATTCGGCTGTGTGAACTCAAACCAAAATATATCTGCTGGTCCTAGCAGTTTCACTCCTGGAAATTTATCCTAAAGTAATAATTGGACTTGTGTGTGAGGATGTTCCTTGCATCGTTGTTTACAGCAGCAAAAAAAAAAAAAAAAAAAAAAAAAAAAAAAAAAAAAAAAAAAAGATAATAACTTTAATATTTATGACCTAGGGGTTGGTTAAATACATTACACTCTACTCATACAAGGGCGCACTCACTATGTAGTTATTAAAGAGTATAAGGTGGAGTTGTATGCATTTACAGAGAAAGATCACCATGATATATTCATTTAAAAATTATGGGACAATGTACATGTAATGAATCCATTTATGCAAAAGAATATGATACTATATATACATAAAAATCTAAATCAAAGGTTTTAGACCCTAAATCAAAGGTTTCCAAACTTCCTGAGTCCATGGCACTTTTAGTGTGTCAGTAACTTTTTCACGGTGCCCCTGGGCCAAAAAAAAAAAAAAAAAAAAAAAAAAAAAAAAAAAGTACGTAACAGCTTTGTTTATTAAACAGTCAGGTCCAAAGGACTTAATATATATTTATGTCCTAAAAACTTAGTAGCTGTAAAGTACCTATACATTGAAAGAAAAAATAATGTTTTCTTAAATAACCTCAATTCTTAAGTAGCCACAATGTGTGCCTGATGGACCCTGCACGTTATCTCAAATTCTGGAATCCGACTGGACCCCACCATACTCATTTTCTGTTCCATTTTGGTTTTTGCAAAGTACTTGCTTTTTATCGTAGCAACTGCCCTGACAACCCAGATTTGCAAAGATACGACAGCGCTGAAAGGAATGTAATGTGAAATGTTGGAAATGGCAAAGTACCTTAAGTTGGTGCTTTACGCAGTATCTGACACAAGTCAAACACCACAGCGCTTCCCTCAAAGATCCAGAATATCCCGGGCTTAACCCTGTGAATTCCCTGCCATGGCGCAGTTTGGGAACCACGGCATCAGACTATAAACAAAGACTCTTTCTGGACAATGAGATTGGATCGGAGGGAGAGAGAATTTTCTTCGTTATGCACATCTGAATAGTTTGGGCTTTTTATAATAAGCAAAATATGAAAGTAGTAAGAGACTTTTGTTACTTTTTTGTAAGTTTTTTTTTTTTCATTTCAAGAAAAGAAGGCGGAAAAAGGACAAGAGTGAAAGCGAATGAGGGAGATGCAAAGAAATGAAAAATGAAATAAAAAGTCTGCTAGCCGAGGGGCGGAGGCTGCACAGGCACCCCCACACCAAACGTGTGCGTGTTTCCCTCTGTGATTGTGACGCTGGTCCAAGTCCCTCCGGGCTTCGGCTCCTCGGCTGTTAAAGTACAGGCACCAGCCTCCCTCATGGGCAGAGAGTTACTTCCGGTTACTCCTGAAGAGCAGAGCGATTAAAACCACAGCTCTCGAGCTGGGTTCTAACCCTAACTCTGCTACCCGCTCGCTGTGGGTCCTTGAGCAAGTTCATGAACTCCTCTGTGCCTCAGTTTCCTCATCTGTTCAATGATGAGAATAATAATGTTCACCGGTCGTGGGGACTCCACGTGGGACACTTACTCGGTGGCCAGGGCCAAGTATGCGCTACCTATTATTATTAGTGTTGTTTCTGCACATATATAAACAAATTGGCCCACAGGATTTTTTTCCCTCCAGCAATGAGAACTAGGAAATGTGAAGGACTGTCCCTGTTATCATGGCATCCAAAGGGTCAGAAAAAGGTCAGAGGAAGCCACTAAAGGGTCAGAGAAAGGTCAGAGGAAGCCACTAAAGGGTCAGAGAAAGGTCAGAGGAAGCCACTAAAGGGTCGGAGAAAGGTCAGAGGAAGCCACTAAAGGGTCGGAGAAAGGTCAGAGGAAGCCACTAAAGGGTCAGAGAAAGGTCAGAGGAAGCCACTAAGGATCCATGTACAAACCAAAGGTATAGGGGGGTAGAACCACGTCTGAGCCGAACGTAGTCAGGGGGTAACTTGAGGGGTTTCTGCTCTAGTGATAAAAAGCGTCAAATTAAGGTAGGAAATAATGTAATTTCACCATCTCATGAATTTTCCCCCACATCTCTTTCTTTCTCGAACATTGAAACATTTTTTTTTTTTACCTCATCTCTATGTCCCATAAAGTGATATCGTCGCTGATCCAGGGATTGGACGGCTCGGCCGGCGTGATCAATGGATCGTATTCCACATACTGTTCTGTGTAAGCAATTAAGCTGCGGGAGGGAAGCAAAGCAAAGTACGCCACTGTTTTCCATAAAAACTTGCATTTTTACACAAACGTTGTAACTGTCTTTATAGGATTCCAAGTTAAAGGGAAAATGACAAATCGAGCTGTTTCTATTTATGCTTGTTCTCTTCTCATGAGGAACGTATTGTTTTTTGCATTCCTGCTGTCGTACGTACACATTTTATATCTTTTCCCCACATTACTCTTTACCTGGACCCTGGTGCACCCCTTGCTGGTGGCGCTAGCCTGACTGATACACAGGTCCAAACCTGCGTGTGTATCACCCTCTCACGGAGACTAGGGATCTCGGGGCATCTGGGTCACACCAAGGACACTCAAATCCGTCCAGGCTGCCAGTCAAGGGTTCCCAACTGGGAGACCTCCGTACGACAAAGACTAAAATCCTGACGGACCATAAGGAGGTAATGCATCATAAGCATTATATCCACAAAGCAGCTTAGTTTTTCCGGTTATACTGTAAACGGCCACATTATCTTTTTGAATGAAATTTTCATTGCATCAAAAGACATGTGGTTAAAACAATAAAATAGTACAAAATGATTTCACACACACAACCACACACTCTCTGCTCACAGAGACCTCTGCTTTCTACCCTTCTGTTTCCTTTAGCATTTACCTGTGTATTTCCAAATTGTGTTTTTATAGTTGTTCTTGATTGTCAATTTTTTTATTTAAAACTTTTTTTAAGTTTATTTATTTTTTTAGAGAGATACAGAGACAGCATGAGCAAGGGAGGGGCAGAGAGAGAGAGAGGGAGAAGAGAGAGAATCCTAAGTAGGCTCTGCACCGTCAGCACAGAGCCCGACGTGGGGCTCGAACTCTCGAAACTGTGAGATCATGACCTGAGCTGAAACCGAGAATCGGGTGCGTCACCGACTGAGCCACCCAGCTGCCCCTTGATTATCAATTTTAGATGAGGATTTAACTCTCTTCGCCAGTCCCCGACTCCCCCCACCACTTCCTCCCACGATCCTCCTAAGAGACGTATAATAATTTTTGTGAAATCAATCGTCAGTGTCCACATTATTAAACTAGATATAAATTGTTTCCTGCTAAGTAGCATATCACCCTTTCCAAATGTTCTAACAAATCTATAAAACACCTAGCAACAAATTTTCCACGTATATTTTGTTTATTTATTTTGAAAGAGAGAGAGAGAGTGAGAATGAGTGGGGGAGGAGCAGAAAGAGAGGGGGGACAGAAGATCTGAAGCAGCTTCTATGCTGACAGCAGAGATCCCGACATGGAGCTCAGACTCACAAACCATGAGATCGTGACCTGAGCCGAAGTCAGACACTCAACCGACTGAGCCACCCAGGTGCCCCCAATTTTCCCACATCTTAAACACCTTAGCCAATTCTTGTTCAGTTCTGTCTCCCCGTCTCCTGGAGGTCCTCTCTCCAAAGTCTGGAGTCCTGTTTCTCCAGTCTGGACTGTTTGCTCTACACACTCGATGTAAAATCACCCTCCTGGGACGTCCCTGACTTCTGTCTGCGCTTTGCTTCCTGGACTTTACGTCCGTCTACTGGTTTTACTCTCTGGTTTGTGCTGAGATACTCCTTTAGTGGTTTCCTAAGAAAGGATGCAGAGAAGCTAACTATTTCAAGTCCTGGCAGGTCTAAAAATATTTTTATTTTATCTTTGTACTTGGCAGATAGTGCTGGACCTAGAACCCCAGGTTAAAAATCATTTTCCTTCAGAATTCTGAAGGCGTTGCTCTACTGTATTTTTGGCATCCAGTGTTACTGCTGAGAAGTGTGGATCCAGTTTGATTCTTGTTCTTTTGCTTAGTTTCTTTCCTCTCTGGAAACAGCATCTTCTCTTTATTGCTACAGCGCCCTGAAATTTCACCCTGGCTTTTGCTGGTGTTTTTTATTTACTGTGCTTGGTACCACGTGCAATGGATAAAAAAAATATTTCCCAGAAGTCTTACTTCTTTGTTAATTTCATACCCTCATTTCTTCTGTTTCCTCTTTCTATAATTCTCTCTAGTTGAATATTGGACCTTCTGGATTGATAATCTAATTTTCCTAAATTTGCCCTGCCGTTTTTCATCTTTTTGTCTTTTTAGTTTGGTGGTTCTTCCCATCTTGTTATTTATTTACTTTTTAAAAATTTGGGCTATCACTTTCTTTTTTCTTTTTATATTTATTATTTTTGAGAGACAGAGAGAGACAGAGCACTAGTCAGGGAGGGATAGAGAGAGAGGGAAACACAGAATCCAAAGCAGGCTCCAGGCTCTGAGCTGTCAGCACAGAGCCCGACGTGGGGCTCAAACTCACAAACCACGAGATCATGACCTGAGCTGAAGTTGGACGCTTAACTGACTGAGCCACCCAGGCGCCCCTGGGCTATCACTTTCTTAAGCTTCCAGAGCTCACTTTTATTTATCACAGGATCTAGTTTTTGATTTATGCATAAAATATTCTGATATCTGACATTAATATTTCTGAGGATATTAATTATGTATTTTTATTTTCTGTTTCTTGAATAGTTTTTGGTTCCTCCAAGTCCGTTTTGCTCTTTGTTTGCCTCATACTCCCTCACATTGGGGTTTCCCTTGAATGTCTGGAAAATCTCTGGGCATCCACTTGTGTTTAAGAGCGAGATACTAAAACCTGCTTGGAGGCTCAGTGTGTGTGTGTATAGGGCTTCGTTGACAGATCACGGGCAGCTCACCAGTCTTTTCACTAGAGCTCCCAATGAGGGATTTGGGGCCTTTTCTTTGGGGACATTGATTTTTCTCTAGAGCAACGGTGAGTAAACATTTTCTGTAAGACAAAGCAAATATTTTAGGTTTTACAGGCCAGATGGGTCCATTACAACTCCTCAGCTCTTCTGTTGCAATAAAAAGCAGTCATCGATAATTCAGGAACGAATGCATGTGACCGTATTCCAATAAAACTTTATTTGTGAAAACAGTAGCGTGGAGTAGATGTGGCCCACAGGTTGTAGTTTTCTAATCTTTTGCCTGTGGGTGTATACCTCTGGCTCCTGGAGGGTGCAGAACCAACCAGGCAGAGGACGGTTGGAGGGTTCCACTGTTCAGTATGTAGATCTTCCATTAATTCACTTGTTTTCAGTGGGCCCTTTACGATGTGATGTGCCTGAATTCTGAGCTGATGTGATTCAATTTCTTTAGAGAATAAGCTGTCCATCTCCTGTGGTGCTAGCAAGCGGGAGAGATGGTCTCCTAGTGGGGCAGGTATCTAGGGATCCAAAGATCCAGAGACAGGCTTTACCCATTTCTCTGGGTTAGCCCCATGCTTCATTTTTTCCTTCCATGGTCTCCGGTGACTTCAAGAGCCAAGACCAGACTTGTAGGGCAATCGGGTTCACTTTGTTATAATACTCACACTCTGAACACGTAGGTTATAATGTTCTTCACTCTGTCCCCAGCCACCTTCTTTTTTTTTTTTTTTTAGTAAATTTTGGAATATTTTAGGAATACAGAAAGGTCTTCTAACTAGCCAATTACAAGTGAGCTGTTTAATGGATCTTTGTTAAATTCGCCATGGTACGCAATGGCCTTGTGGAGCACTCAGGACCATTGGATAAAAAATGGAAAAGCATTTCAAAAGAATCTTCCAAATCTTCTGCAAATGTAGGCTATGTGATTGCAACCAGCATGTGCAGTGGAGGCACGTTGTCTTTGTAGGAGTACAAGGTAGGCCTTGTGCCCAGGCAAGCCTTCATCCTAAGGCCCTAGGGCGGCACTGTGGCAGGAAAGGTCACACTACAAGTCGGTGCTGTGACAGCTCCACAGGGAGTTGTCCCTTGGTCCCCTGGGCTAATTCCTTTCTTTCTGAAAGAGATGGGTTGCACATTAAGGTACATATTAGTTTCCCGGGGCTGCTGTAACAAATGCCCACAAACTTGGTGGCTTGAAATGACAGGAGTCTTTCTTACTTCTGGAGTTTAGAAGTCTGCAGTCAAGGTATCAGCAAGTCTATGCTCCCTCTGGAGGCTCAAGAGGAGTAATCCTTCCTTGCCTCTTTGAGTGGTTCCAGGCACTCCTTGGCTTGTGGATGCCTAACTCCAATCTCTGCCTCTGTCCTCGCGTGACTTTTCCTCTGTGTCTGGGTCTTCTCCCCTTCTCTTCCTTACTTGTCCTTGGGTTTAGGGCCCACCGGGATAATCCAGGATGATTTCATCTCCAGATCCTTAATTTACATTTGCAAAGGCTCGTCCCACATAAGTCATGTTCACGGCTTCCGTGGATGAGGACTTGCACATACCCTTTTGGGGGCCACTATTCAACCCACTGCAGGGCACATGAAGGAATCTAGGCATGAGGACGGAAAGGGCACACTTGGCCACCTGACTCCTTCGCACCAGCAGCTGGTAACCTCGGTCCTGTGTGAGGGACGACGGTCCATGTGAGATGTGTCTGAGTCATGATGAGGCATTGGGGGCTTTCCTGATTATGACATATTTGGGCATCCATAGCATTCTCAGAATTTGAGATGGTGGGTGTAGTCTATGGGCCTCTCTTCAGCGGTGACCCCTTTGCCCTCCCAGCATGTCTGCCCCCTGGCCTTTTCAATGACCTCAGCCTCTGGTGGCCCCGATCTCAAATCAAAGACAACTACCTGAGCAGCCCAAGACAAAGGTGGTGGTTGTGGGGGGGTCTTCTAACTAGCTAATTACAAGTCTTGGGGGATTTTATTTTTAAACCAGAAATGGATTTCCCTCAAGTAACACATAGGGATGGAAAAACAAAATTTCCTCCCCTCCCTTCCTTACTCTTGCTCTGATTTCTGTGAGACAGGGTGGAGGTTTCACCAGCCACCTCTCTAGCTTGTTTTATTTGACGGTCCACATGGCCACACCTATGACCTGCGAAGGCACGTCGAAGGGGACATGTCACACCTAGGTTCCCAGATGAAGCCCAGCAGAAGTGCCTGGGGCCAGGAGAAGCAATGAGGCACAGGAGAGGCTGGGGTGAGAATTCTGAGGACCTAG